CTATGGAATAAGGGTTCCCACACACCTTACGATAATCCTACGATAATCACGGGAAATCCCGCGATCGTACGATTATCGTAAGGTGTGTGGAAGCCATGCGACCTCTACTACTGTAAGGTCGCACGACTTTAAACTTACGAACATGTTCGAAAACCCGCCGAGGATCGTACAATGTTTGGCGGGTGTGTAGCATGTTCGTAAGATAAAAGCCGGACGGGCCGGTGTGCGCAAGCGCACACTGCCCGTTCGGCATTGCGGTCATCGGAAGCCCGCCCCTTAGGGGGGCGCGGCTTGCGATCATCGCAAGTACGATCTGCCTGTCCAAGATGGGCAGATCGTACGTTTTTTTAAGTACCTTACAACCATCGCAAGACAAAAGTCTTGCGATGGTTGTAAGGTGTGTGCCCAGCCTAAGAATGTAAATTCATACAAAAAAAATCAAAACCGAATCCGCTAAATCAGCAGAAATCACCTGAAATTGAAGAAGTGCGTTGCCAGCGTAACCCTTTACAATAGCCTTTACCACTTAAGTGAGATAATAAAGCATTTTTTAAATATTTGTATTTCATTGCTGATTCTTGTAACGTTGTGTAATAATATATAGGTCTCAAAAATTTTTGGAATTGTGTTAAGACGAGATCTAAGGCATCTTGAAAGTTTACATCTTTAATATCTTAATGTAACCAATAAAGGGTTTTACTTAGTGACATTAAGCCCTCAGATTTTTTAACATAAAACAATACTGTAATGTGTGCCTTACTGTAATCCATGGTAGTTTCCCTTCTCTTTGCTGCTCTTCCTTTTTAAATCCTCATGTCTTCTCATGCTTGGGGAGAACTTCCCTTTGCAGCTGGGTGCCTCTTCCTGTAGTGCTGGCTCAGGTTGTGAACCTTCACACCGACACCATGTAGCCATTCCAGAGACAAGGCAGTCAGCTGCAAAACAGAAGTTCTGCCCAGCATGAGAAGAGATACGGATTTAAAAGGAAGAGCAGCAAAGAGAAGGGAAACAACCATGGATTACAGTAAAGCACACATTACAGTATTGTTTTATGTTAAAAAATCTGAGGGTTTAATGTCACTTTAAACTCCAAATTTGCTGTGTTTCATAATAATGTGGCAGGACTTGACTTTTTGACAAGTTATATTATGGCTGTTAAGGTTAGAATACAAGAAATAAGTATTATTTGACTTATGTGTTTAAGGTGTGGCTTTCTTTGTATGCAAACATATATATTTTTTTAAAATGGTGTTTAAATATTTTACAATAAATTGTACTTGTTTTCTTTTTTCTTTTAGATTTTGGGTCATTTTTTGATTTGGAACAAGATCTTCCTGATGAGCTAATTAGCTCAAACGAGTTTGCCCTGAGCAATGGTGGAGATATTAATCAAAGTCACATGAGCCCAGGGATTCTACCTGATGCAGCTGCTAAACATAAACAACTCTCTGAACTTTTACGGGGTGGAAGTACTACAAACATGGTCATGGGTCTTGGACAGCAAGTGCCCCAAGCCAGTTCTGGTATTGGGATGCTAAACAATATGGTTAAAGGTCCAGTGCCTCAGCCAGGTATGTCTTCACCAGGTTTGAGCATTGGAGGAAATGGAGGCAATCCAGGGGGTCCCTCCCAAACATTGAACTCCTCAACTGCAGGAATGATGCTTTCTTTGAACAATCCAGCAGCACAGTCTAGAATCGGCATGAATTCAGGGATAATCACAGGTGGAAATGGACAAAACATGACACAAGGACAAATGATGAATGGATCTCTTGGCATTGGAAGACATCAGCCCGGTGGGCCATACCATAATCAAGGAATGGGTAACTTTAGTAACCTTTTAGGAGATACTCTGCAGCAAAGTGGACAACAGATAGGAGGCCAACCAGGAGCGAGAAGTCCTCAGGCAACAGCCATAAACAAGGTCAGTGTTATAGTTTAATTACATTTTTATTATTAATTATAATGGATTTCTGACTTATTGTATTTTCATTGAATAACTTTTTGCTGCTATAAGCAAAATTTGTAAGATGTCCTGCTTTTACCTGTTTCCAGAAAATGACATGTATGACTTGTATGTGTTTTCCTGTATGAAAAAACAGTCCTCATATCCAAGAATGTGCTGCCCATGGTAATGCATAATTTTTTTTCCCAGTTGAAACTGAAATCTTAATGCGTGTGGATCCTCATACGCATATCTTTTCAAACATTGAAGTGGTGATTACAGGATGTTTTAATGTAAAGCAGAGTTGATAGATGCCCTCAACTACCACCTTTCCAGTCTCTTGCTATTGATATTGCAGCTCAATATCTGCTTTTTTAGAAACCTTTCCTTCACAGAGGAATGGAAAATAATCTACTCACTGTGCATTAGCTTGATCAGCACAATAATCCGGCGGATTCCGCATGTTCTCGGCTGTTTAAAAACAGCAAACGAGCGGCATCCGTGTGGATGTAAAAATACTAACGTTTTCGTTCCGCGTAGAAAAGCGCGCGTGAAATGCAAACGCTGTATGTGAATGGAGCCCAAGTCTGGGGGCTGTTTGTTCTTTCTGCTAAATGTCTTTGGTTTTTACCTCCTCGTAGTTCGGATGCTAAGATTTGCCCTTGTAGCTTCCACTCTAGACCCTTAAATTCAGGCACCACCTTTTGTTGTCATTTCAGGTATTACTGTACCCCTTTATACATATTCCCAGATTTGTTTGGTTTACCCACTATCACATTTAATTTCCCACTCCTGAGGCCCATGGCCTGCAAGATCGACAGACATCTATCCCTTCTGCTTCTGTACCTTGTAAAGATCTGTTTCTTTTTTTTGTCCTGGCATCCTCAATATGAAACGCTCCAAAGACCTTCACTGAAGAAAATCATTGTCCAGTTTTTTGCACTTCCTGCTAAGCCACAGGTTCTGTTGTTTACCCTCTTTGTGTACCTTTTGTCCCTTACCTCTTGGGGGTTTATAATATTATTATGGAATTCCATTTAACGTAGTCCCTCCTTTGGATTCCTCTCTCTGTGTTTAAGAATTTGGATTAACCCCTTGACATCTGCCCATTGTAAAAATGCGGGTGAACAGCGGATGCTTCCCGGCGGGTGGACGTACATGTACGTGATTTTAATGTATTTTTTTCTGCTTGCGCGTGGCCCTGGAGTGTAAACCAGCCGTAATCGGCTATTGTATACAAGTGTTCGGCTGGCTCAACAGCTGGTTGCTCGTATAACCACGAACAGTGTAGGTCCCCCCTGCTGCCGCGCAGCCCCCCTCTGCTGCCGGTTATCCTGGGATCGAGAACAGCGTCTCTCTGTACTGAGAAGGAGGGGAGATCAGCATTCTCCCACCGACGATCTCTCCTCCTCTCTCTAAAGACGGAAGCGATGTGTATTACATCACTTCCAACTTTAGCTGTCATTTCTCTGGCTGCTATAGCCAGAGAAGAAGCTGGTGAAGCAGATCTCTGCTTCATCAGCTTCTTTGGGGGTCCCAAGGTGTCATAAAGGGTCTTGGAGACCCCTGATGTCACCATAAAGAGGTCCTTTTCAGCCCCCTATGTGATGGCAATCAAGATAAATGTAAAAAAAAAAAAGTCTTGCAAGACAATTCCTTGCTCCAGGTCTGTAATCATATATTGGTTATATAACCATTAGAAATAATAACAATTCCATACATGTACAAGGCACATATTCTGAGTAGGGAAGCCCGGAGGGCGTAGTCCTTTAGTATGACACACCATGGGCAAGCATTGACTCGTGTCCGCTTGGGGTTGACTAATAGGAACAGATAGGTAAGTATTATAGGATGCTGAATCCTTAAAAGACAACCAGCAAGCCCATCTTGTGTAGAAGGTAGAGTAAGAATCCTTGGCAGTATGCATTAGTTCCTCCAGTAGTCTAGTGAAGTCCAGTTTGCGCAACCATTCCTGAATGGAGGGCACTTGGGCAGATCTCCAATATCTAGGGATAAGAGATCTAGCAGCATTCAATAGAAATGGAACTATCGTTGTGTTTTGGTTTTTTTGTACGCTCTCGGATCTGCCGTGAGGTGAAACAAACACAACCAGGGATCCAGGGGGAGCCGTACACTACATATCTGATGAATGATCTGTACGACCTGTGACCAGTAGGGTTTGATTAATGGGCACTCCCAGCATATGTGAGCAAAGGATCCTGGATTTCCACACGACCCCCAGCATTGAGGGTCAAGATGGGGGTTAGCTGCATGTAATTTAGTGGGGACATAGTACCACCTGGATAGCAATTTGTAATTTGGTTTCTTACATCGGGACATCAATCGAGGAGGTCGATACAAGGGCCAAAATCAGGGACCTCTCCTCTGGGGTAAGGGCACGGTGAAAATCTGCCTACCATTTATGTAGATAGGGTGGAGGGGATTCATGCTCCAGGTTAATCAAGGCTCTATAAAAATAGGGGAGACAGTGGGTGGGCACAGATTTCGAGCTCAGTATGGTTTAAAAAAAAGTGAAGTCTTGGCACATTCTCAATGGTTTTGACAGGGAACTCAAGAAATTGGACAGCTGGCGGTGTTTACAGGAATCCAGGGGAATCCTACCCCAGCAAGTCTGCAGGTTGGTCAGAGAGAGTAAGGAAGTACCGTTCAAAACGTCACCTAGTTTTAAGGGTGGAGGAGTCTGTCAATTTTGAAAAGTATTTGTCCAATTTTCGCGGTGGGGAAAAAAATCAGAGCCCTGTAATGGCATCAGGATCGAGTTATGGGGGCAGTGGAATCTGCGGTGCAAACGGTCCCAGGTGCGCAATGTTGAAGTAGTCAAAGGCAGGATGGTAGAGGCAAAAGGCCTCCATTTAGGGGGCAACCAGATAACCTGAGACAGAGGGGCACCACAAGCCGCAGTCTCCAGGGCCACCCAACTCTTTCCCAAACTACCAAAGACCCAATCCACCACTCTCACCATTTGGTCAGCTACATGATGGGTCCGAAAATTGGGAAGGGCCAGCCCGTCATTCCGACGAGTCCGGACTAGTATACGACCCGAAATCCCAGGAGTACGATGCTGTCAAATATTAGTGGAGATTATTCTAGTCAGAGTCTGGAAGTAGGAACCAGGTAGGGTTATGGGCAGCACTTGGAACAAAAATAACACTTTGGGGAGAATCATCATTTTCACAGAATTTACCCTGCTGACCCAGTGGAGAGAGCGTAAGAAGGCCAGATCAGCTTGAACCAGATTCAAAAGGGGGACAAAATTATCGTTGTATAAATCCATGGGTCTGGGAGTCAAGTAAATTCCCAGGTAACGGAGGGAATGGGGTCGCCACTGGAAGGAAAAATGGGAAAGGAGGGCTCGGCGGACTTCCTCCGTTATAGTTAAATTATGGATCTCATATTTACCCATATTAATTTTGAAATTGGAAAGGGAGCCATATACTTTTAGTGCTGTCAAAATTTGGGGTAGAGAGATTTGCGGGTTTTTCACATAGAACAGGATTTCGTCTGCGTATGCCGCTAATTTGAATTCACCCGCCGGGGTAAGGATACCTTGGATCACAGGATTTTGCCTGATTGGTGGTCAATAGGGGCTCAACGAAATAGCGAATAGTAGGGGGGATAGGGGGCAGCCCTGTCTGGTCCCGTTATACAGTGTAAAAGGGGGGGGATTTATACGAATTTTAGCGGTAGGGTGGGTGTAAAGTGCCGAGATCCACTCCATCACCTGGGAACCCAGACCCAGGTGGGATAGTGTGGCGAGGAGAAAGTCCCAGGCCACCCTGTCAAAAGCTTTTTCCGTGTCGGTGGAAAGGAGTAACACGGGAAATTTCTGTTGTCGGATAATGTGTATTAACGAAATTGACTTGAGAGCATTATCCCGGGCTTCCCTGCCTGGAATAAATCCCACCTGGTCTTGGTGGATCCAAGACGGTAAGAGTGGATATAGCCTGTTCGCCAAGATCTTAGCGTAAAGTTTTGCGTCCACAATAAGTAACGAAATGGGGCGGTAGCTGGCGCAACATGAGGGGTCTTTCTCTGGCTTAACAATGACCGTAATGCGGGCCAATAACGACTCGGGTCGCAGGGGGGCATTCGTGGAAATAGCGTTAGCATAAGAGCAAAAATATGGGGCCAATATGCGTCTATAATAGAATAGCGTAAAGCCATCTGGGCCTGGGCTTTTGCCCAATGGGGTGGTTCCAATTACCTTCTTTAATTCAGATTCAGTAATATCGGCCTCTAGGGTGGAGAGGGTCTATTTAGGCACCTTAGGGAGGCAGGCCTGCTGCAAATATGAATTGATGCTATCTAGTTTGGATGCCTCGGGGTCATCCTGTTTTTTCACCCGATAGAGATCCTGATAGTAGTTTCGGAAAACTTCCACGATGGCCGATGTGGCATGTACTATTGAACAAGATTTGGCTTTAATTTTGGAGTTGAAAGTGGTGGATTGTTTGGCTCTAAATGCCCTCGCTAGGAACCTACCGGGTTTACCCCCCAGTTCGTAGTATTTTCGAGAGACTATGTTGAAGGCTCCCCTTTCCCTGATTTGACAGTGTCAGGGGTTCTATTTAACCCCTTCGTGACTGACGACGTACAGTGTACGTCGCCAGCATCGGGGCTGTTTAAACAGACTCCCGGCGACTTTTGCCGCCGGGAGTCTGTTTAAACTTGTAGAGCCGACTGTCGGCTTTACAACAGAAGCGATCCTGGCGACTTACCTGTCGCCAGATCGCTTCTGCGTCCCGAAATATTCTATAGGGTCTTGGCATTCAGAAAATATATAATGTTGGGGGGCTTTACGTAATTTTCAGGCCTAAAATGTGGAATATAACATGGGTGCAAAAAATGAAAAAAGGGCCTCAGTCATGAAGGGGTTAAAGAGGCAATTCACCATTTCACAAAATGTAAAAAAAATGTGCTGACCATTGAGCGCTCAGCGTTTGCAAGCATTATGATTT